CCCGGAAATATTTTCGTTTCCAGCATAAAGATGAAAGTCGTTTAGCTATGCAAAAGATTTGATAACATCTGATAGAAACTTCACGTAGTTTTAGAATATCAAAACCGCTTCGGTTGAGGGAATAATTTTTGTGGATTTTTTAGTCGTTGAAGTTGAAAGGCGAAGTCGGCGACCCAGATTGAGCCACCGTTCGACAACTGCCCTCTAATTGTTACGTATAGTCAAAGGTGGGGGCGCTAAAATCGCTTAGGCTGCTCCCATACATTTGGAAAAAAGGTTCGAGCTATGAAGTTCTACGCAAGGGAATACGCACTGAGGACGGCGTTTGGCCGAGAGAATTTTCAAGAATTTTGAAGTTACCAACCTTCACCTCGCCGATATTGGGCAGCTCACGTCTGTTCCACCTAAAATTTTATGCTAATATTTGAATGTTTCGCTGATATGTTTTGCATGTTCTGATAGCAAATTTCGTGCTCTATAACACTGCTATAGAAATCTGTTCTCGCAAGTGTTTGCCTTTCTGTTTAAGTTTTAGAATGATCATTAGCGGAAAACGCGAGTCGGTTGAGTAACCAGGCGTTCCCAGTTCTCCACGATTTACTGCCAAGCTTTTGAATGTTTCGCATAATGTGTTTCGATAACGTTCTGATAGCCAATTTCGTCGACTGTATTATACAGTGCGTCTATCAGATTATTTTGAAATCCGTTTGATGAACCTTGTTTTTCAGGTGGATAATATGGAATGTCAGGTCGATAAGCATCAGCACTTCAGACATCTCCTCCTTTTCGCATTCAACAAGATCAGAGCTGCTATGCCTGCTCGCTAAGAGCTGTCCTAACACTAATCTGTTACTCTGAGCCTTACTCAAACCATGGCGATTCTATTGAGCTGCTCTAGGAGCTTTGAAGCTTCAGTGGACAGCGGTTGAGAGAGGAAGTCGGGAACTCTAATTCTCATCGACCTCACGTTCCGTAAAGATAACCTGAACTTAACAGAAAGTAAACAGCTCCGGAGAAACTGATTTTTATGTTATGTTATAGAGCACGAAATTGGCTATCAGAACATATAGAACACATTAGCGAAACATTCAAATGTTAGCATAAAATTCGTGGAGAACGGGAACCCTAGTTCTCAACGACTTCGCGTTCCATATGATAACCTGAACTTAACAGAAAGCAAACACCTCTGGAGAACAGATTTCTATAGCAGTCTTATAGAGCACGAAATTTGCTATCAGAACATGCAAAACATATCAGCGAAACATTTCAATATTAGCATAAAATTTCAGGTGGAACAGAACGTGAGCTGCCCTCATATCGGCGAAGGTGAAGGTTGGTCTTCAAATTCTTGAATTCGTTCGCAAAGCGTCTCTAGTGCGATATCCCTTGGCTGGAACTTCAGCCCCCTCGACCTTTTCCAAATGTATGGAGCAGCTTAAGCGATTTTAGCACTTCGACTATACGTAAATAGAGGCAGTTGTCGAAGGTGCTAATTTTCGCCGACTTCGCTTTCAACTTCAACGACTAAAAAATCCACAAAAATTATTCCCTCAACAAAGCCGTTTTGATATTCTAAAACTACGTGAAGTTTCCTATCAGATGATATCAAGCTTGCTAGCAAAACATTTCATCTTTGGAACGAAATTTCCGGTTAAAAAAACGAAAGTACTTATGTGCCAACCCAATATTTTTAGAAATGAGTGAAAGAGGAGCTCGGCTACCACTGATCGATTTGGTCCAAGCGTGCACCGTGCATTACTCTCCTACGCAGAGGTGATGGAAAGGTATAGATTCTAATTTGAGGTGCTTTTATCCATGCAAGCAGATGTTTTTTAGGGTTTGGAAAGGACAATACGCACGAATCTGTTTGAGACGTATTATTTAGTCATCTACGTACTTACGAGTTCATGCTATTAACTGATATTTATTTATTTATTTATTTATTTATTTATTTATTCTTGATATTCTTGCTATATTGCTAATAAATTTTTTATTATTTTGTAGTCCTATTTACATCCGGGTCTTCTGCAGCTTTCCGTTCCTTCCATCAAACTTAGCAGTGACACTTTTGTACGGTTTGATGCCTTAGCGAGCCTACTTTTGCGATACTCCCCATGTCCCCCGCGGCCAAGTACGAACCCGTCAAGTAGTTTTGGGGATTTTGCATGAAAAGAGGGCTGTTAAACGTAGCAGTTCAATCTGTAAAGAATACACTCATAATAATTTTCATTTTTTTAACATCTCAACTCTTTTTCCATAGCTCCACTCCCACTATCAACTGAAATGTCGAAGCATTGCCCGGCTCTGAGTGACCCTTGAGATTACGACCCCCCCTCCCCAGCGGCCAAGTACGACCCCCTCCCCACCCCTAATTGGGTTTCGGCACAGGCGATGCTTGTTACCCTTGTAGTGAGTGATGTGTAGTGGTGTTATGTCGTTTCTAGAGCGCCACGCGATGTGTTCGAACAATTAGCTGCTAACACTGGAAATTGGTTCTTGCCAGCTGCATCAATTATTGTTTGGTGGATATGTTGTCGTAATCTCCGTATGATCGCCTTGCCCCTAGTTCCCTCTTCAATCGATATGGTCGGGCCTTGTGCTGAGGATGTGGTTCGTGGGCGATAAGGGAGGTCATCATTACATATTGAGAAAGGAAACCAAGAAAGTCAACAAGCCTCTCTATAAGGCTTGAAGGGCAAATACGACTCCTCCCTCTCTGAATATACAAGCGAATACGGCCCCTGCTGCCGCTTATAGGGCGACCGTGAAAAAAGAAAAATCAGCTATCAGAAAAAATTCTACGGCTAAATACACTCCCCCCAGTAACCGATCCCCCCCCCCCAGTAACAGAACTAGGTCCCCTGTCGGGAAATCCCCAATGAGTCGAACAAGGTTGCTCCGCGCCGAAACCGTGCACATTAAGGACGCTCCACATCGATGCATTTACCCGATAAGCATAGAACAAACGGATGAACTCATTACTCTGCTGTCCGTAATAAACGTGTTGCTAGAATAATGGAAGCAAATCCGGCGAGCGTAGCTCACCAGCGCGCTGCAAGATCCATATACTTGGAGCGGCGCTGATTGGGGGCACGACATAGCAACGCTTATCGCAGTAAGTCTAATTTCTTAGCTAGAATGACTTGATGCGCTGTCAGGCCCTGCAGCTTGCCATGGGGGCTCGAGGAATTGGTCCTGATTGATGACCTCGATCGTAACACCTCTTTCGGTTACGTGACATCTTGAACTTTTGTGCATGGTCCTGTTACGAAACCCTGTGACGCAGACGGATAGAGGGCAGCGGCTGCCAAAGCATCGAAACGTGCAAAAAACGTATGGCGAGCCAGGAAACGGGATTTTTTTTTCAAGGGGAGGGGACTCCGGGTGGGTGAGCTACTTACAGTCGGTGAAAAGTTGGAGTGAGCTTGCGGACGAGAGAGTGCAGAGAAAAAGAGAAAATCGACGCGTTCGAAGGGATTAACAAGATGTCCGTAGACCTCTCTTTCACGCTGGCTCACAGGTGATCAACAAACAAGAATCACAAAAAGGAAAAATAAATTTGCGCCTCATTCACCTCAGTGTTTACAGCGGTGTAGAGCATTCATTACCATGGACTATAATAGGTGTGCTTTACTGTCGACTATCCGCTTTGCTGGCTGAGCGCATTGTGCAGATACCGTGCAATACCTGTGGCCAAAATGTGGGCTGAGGCCGAAGTTCGAGTTCCGAAGAGTTTTAGAATACTTACTAAATAATACTCGATTCTTAATACTCGATTTTGATCACTCTTCTTGAAAGACGGGATTGAATTGGGATTGCAAAGACGTTTTTGGGTCAGATAATGGTATGAGAAGGATTTTCACAGCTCCTCATAAATCAACCGTTCTGCAAAGCTGCTTTGGTACTTTGCGGAAGCGTTCACCACCGACCAGCATCGCCTCGAGCGTCCATCAACGCCAGTGACTAAGAAAGTATGGATATCAGTCTAGCGTCCAGCAACGTCCATCAGCGACTAGGATAGTATGGATATCGGTTTTCACCAGCTTCTAGGAGTGGAAAGTATGGGGATGTAGCAGGGTGGCAGATTACTGGTAGAGTAAGGAGAAGCAGGAATGAGCATACTGCTGGATTAGTTATCGTGGAATTGCGGCGTGTGCAACCGCATCGCACTGCCACACATACCGTACATTGAGCTGCATGATTCTGTGCTTCAGCACTTGTACTGTGCGCTTGGCACATTCCACGACGCCCAGTCTTTCCCATACTATACCAGCAGCCTGCTACCCTCCTATTTCCCATACTCTCCACAACTGGACGCTGGTGGACGCTGGCATGCGCTGGATCGAAGTCCATACTATCCCAGTCGCTGGTGGATGCTGGTAGACGGTGGTTGCTGGATCGATATCTACACCTCCCTCGTCGCTGGCGCTGACGACGCTGGAAACGCTGAAGACGCTGATGGACGCTGGTGGACGCCGCCAAAAATATGAACGTAGCCTAAGGCGAAGCGCTCGGATGCCACGGGCGAATACCGGGCGGATGTCGCTGGCCCCCTCGCGGCAGCTCTTCGACCAGGAAGTGGTCTCGAGTCCAAATGGCTTCACTGGAGACTCGGGTGTATTGGTAATGTTTCGAAAACTGATTATAAAGGTCGAAACTGCTACCTGCATTTCACAGGCGAGTTATGAGCGGTCAAACCTCGCAGATGCACTGTTGTGGTGGCACATAAGCAAAACCTAGCATCTCAATTTGTTTACCAGTTCGGCCCCAACTAACAAGAATACTAGATACATCCTGGAATGGATACTGCCCGTGCTGCAGGCGCCTGGGCAAATTTGACCACTCATAACTACCTCTTAACATCAGAGCGATTTATGGATATGAAACCGGCGTCTCAAACTCAGTCCTCCTAATTAGTTCCTTTTTCGACGTTCCATGAAAAGTTGGAGTCAATTCCTAGTGGGGAGCGGGTCTTCAGTGAAGAATAGAGTTATTTGCAGAAGTGGAAGGATGAACGGCTTCGATGGAATCCATCGGAACTATTGCGGAATTAACCAGCTCTATCTAGCCCGAGAAGATGTTTGGATACCGGAAGCTTCAATAGTAGACACGTATGTTGCCTTTCTTCACAGTCCAATAGTTTGCTGTGTCTCCCACGTGTGTACATACAGATCCAATAGGGTGAAATCTTTCAGAATTTCTACAGTAGATCACCGCGAAGATTTCAAGAAATTCGTCTGGGTGAGTTCTGGAAGCAAATCGATTAACACTTCAATTCAAAATAGTCGAGCATCCAAACATATGAAAGCAGATGGGGTGACAGAGCCACATCCGCCCGCCAAAACCGGGCCATAGCACAGACGAGGCGCTGGCGTCAGCCGGCGAGCTGGTATCAAATGTACGTACGACTCTCGTCGGTTAAGAGTACAGCTGCACTGAAGCTCACGAAAAATCGTTTTCTGAAATAGTAGGTGTTTGATGGCACGCTCCACCCACTGTGGGCGGTCCTAACACACCGCAGACGCACAAATCTCTCCAGTTTGTCTCTCACAACGATTTTTTTTCTGATCTCAGAAGTCGCTATGGTCTGAATTATGAAAACTCGTAGCAAGCGCCGCTCATTTTATGTACGACCCGCCCATTCTGAGGATATCTTTCCCATTTGGTCCAGTAACCCCTTGTGGACTTCCATCCACTTGTCCTCGGTGCATATGCTGCTCTACAGCCAACTCGTGAACTTTTGACTTTCGTCTCGCCCACCTCGACAAATCTTCGCCCACAGTTGGCGTGTCCACCTCACTTCAGTAGCCGGGCTCTTGCACAGCTTTGCTCACATTTTGTCACTGACAAGTTTCTGGAATGCCCTATAAACGTTCTACTAATTTTTCGTTTGGCTCCGTCCACCTCGCTGCACGCCCTGCCTAAGGGACGGCTCAGACTTCTCGTCCGGTAGCCCATTGCTGACTTTAATTCGTTTTCCCTGTGACTGGAGTGTTCCGGAACCGTTTTACACATCTTTAAATTTGGCTTCGCCCACCTCGCCTCACGCTCCGCTCACAAGGTTACCGTCTCCCACTTCTGTGTGCTGTGGAACCGAACTACAATTTTTTGGGATAAGTGCCTGATATTTGGGGGCACGCCCAGTAAGGGCGGGTCTTAGCACACCGCGGATATGGCTGACTCTCGCCAGGTGTTTGTCTTCGGAATGGACTTTTTTTGCTGTAAACTCTAAACTCTCCCTTTCAGGGACCGTGTTACCGATAGTTGTGGGAAGCACCGCCCATCTCAGGTGTTTCTCCTCCCCGTATCTGACAACCCTTAGCTGAACTTAGCCCACCTTTTCCCTACATCGGAGCTCTTTGTGGCCCAGTTACAAAGTTTTTTTCAGTGACACCGGAAGCACCGCCAATCTAGAGTGTTTCTCCTCCAATAGTCTGACAACCCTTTGCTAGCCTGAGCCCACTTTTTCCCCATACAGGAGCTGCTCTGCAGCCCAATTATGAATTATTTCTGCAACCCTGCTCACTTTCACCGCATGCCCCGCCCACTGTGGGTGTGGCTTGGCACGGGTTACGGGTGCCCTTCACTTGTATCTACTATAGTTTGACTAACGTTTGAAACGGAAACATCTAAAACCTCATAAAACATTATTTTCAGTTGAACAGCTCCGGTTCATTGGAACTCTTCGTACCAACGGTGACGTCCGTCACATGCCAGATAAAAGTAGGTAGACTTTTTCGGATGATAACGGAGAGACAAGCAGAGACCTCCATTGTCATTAACTAGTTTGAAACCTTTCTCAAATTCCTAATTAAAAATCCTTGGATTCTCGTCCATAAGTGCTGCTTTCCACCAAGTAGTTAACGCTTCCAAATCATAGAGTTCTCCCCTCGTACAGTTTAGAAACACGCTCCCCCGAGGGAGGGAATGCACGATCCCACACAGATCTCCATTTCTTACTCAGGAAAAGTTCCTTCTCAGAGCATAACATTATATCTGGACATTTTCAGATACGAGATTTTCCATTTGACAGTCAAATCTGCTCGATCAAAGTGATGGCGCAGACATTCTCAACTCGCCTATACGACATAGAAACAATCTACTTCATACCAAACGCTTCTCGCCTCGCAGCAATGGTCTCTTTTCGAATATTTGCCAGTTTTTTTCAAATATTTCATGGCAAAGGTGCCTTTCAACTACAGTTGTTTGAAAACTATAATTAAACAAATCGTCCAGAACCCCTTTTTATTGATTTTTCCGGAACTGGTCGATTTGTGCAGTACATTCCTCTCAAGTATTAGGTTGTCCGGAAAGTTCTCAGCGTTTTGTGCACCTATTTTTTGTACATTCACTGCTGATTAAAAACTCATTCTGCCTTGCTTCTCAGTAGCACATCCTGTAGAGAATTTCTTGCGCTATCTGATGGTATAATTGCCGTTTCACCATTGCTTGATAAACCCCCTTTTTTCAAGATTTTTTCAAGCATGTGAAAAGAGCACTTCGGACGATTTTTTTCTTCGACTATAAATTGGGGCAATCCGCAATCGAAACAGCTCAACAAATTAACCAGGTGTGGGGCCCAATAGTGCTAGAGAAAGCACTGTGCGGCAATGGCTCCAACAAATTTCGTTCTGGAGATTTCAGCCTTGAAGATGAACCTCATAGCGGTCGACCTAAAGCAATATCTGACGAGGATTTTAGGGGGATTTTGGAGGCTGACCCATCCCAAACAGTTCGAGAGATAGCAGAAGAGCTAGGCCTTGCAAAATCCACTGTTGCAGATGGTCTGGAACGCATTGGGAAGGTGAAAAACTCGACAATTGGGTGCCCCACAATCGGAGTGACCGGCAGGAATCGGCACGTCTCGAGGTTCCTTCTGCATTGCTTTTGCGCAGCAAAAACGACCTGTTTTGGGCGATTGTCACTGTTGCCTTGAAAATATGGGTCATTTATGATACAGGTAGACGTTTGCCGACATGTGGTTTGGATTTCCGACGAACCACCGAGGTAATTTTCTCAAAGCCGACCCTTCAGCGAAAAGAAGATTCGTGGTCCACGGTTTGGTTTGTCAGCGGTAGTGTGATCCACCTAATTAACTTTTCTATACCAGACCAAACCATCACAGCAGAACCTACTGTGAAGAAATCGACGAATTGTACCGAAAATTTGTCAGATGCAGCCAACACTTATCAAAAGAAAGGGTCCGATTCTTTTGCATGACAACGCCCGCCCACACGTTTCACAAATCACTATCCATAAATTGAACGAATGGGGTTGAAGTTCTACCTCAACCGCCATATTCTTCAGACCTTTCGCCAACCGACTATCACCTTTTCTAACATTTTCAGAACTCCCTTGCTGGAAAATACTTCATCAATCAGGACCAGGCAAAAAAGCCTTCGTGAATTTCGTGAATTTTCGACCACCCAGTTTTTTATTTTGATGGGATTTCTCGA